TTAATATGGTTTGTTAATTTCTTTAAAGATTTCTTGTGAATGTAGGACATAATTTGTGGTATTACAGTTGCTAACATCACAGTTTATGCATAAAGTTTTATCCCTTGACCACTGAATGACATTCACAGAAAGAATTTTCTTATTTGATAATTTTTGGGAGTCTTATGTATGCACAAGTTTGTAATAGGCCAGACTTGGCATTTGTCATCAGTGTGTTAAGTAAATTCCGGTCCAATGTTGGAAACGCTCATTGGAATGCAGTAAAGAAAGTGTTTTAGGTATCTGTAAAAGGCGAAGAGTAACATGCTGGTTTAAAAGAGAACTAAAGATTTTTGCAGGATGTCCTGAAGTATGTCGACCTCTAGTAATGTATTCTTGTTGGATGAAGGGGCATTTTATTGAAAGGAGTCAAGAAAGCAACAGTTGCAGTTTTATTGTAATAATACAAGAGCAGTTTTATTCTAAAGAAACAATAAAAGATCTGTAGGTACCAAGCATTTTCTTGATGGTTAAAGAAAAGATCAAGGAGAGGCATCTCAAGATAGATTACAAAGATACAAAGTCTATAGTTACATATCCACTTAATAAAGCTGTGCCAGTAGATGTTTTAAGAGCCATGTTGAAAGGATGAGGATCTTGGCAAGCATTCACTCAACAGACTAGTGGGAGAAGCAATTCATACTTGACTTCGTCCAGGTTTTCTTATCTCTGCGTTTAAGATTGAATTTGGTTTAAATGTACATCAAGTATTTCAGTATGTTTGATAAATATTATTGATAATCATTTAGTATGGTTAATTTATTAAGGAACCATGGTTAATTTACTAGAAATAGTCTTAAGAGGACCTCTGGATGTTTCATTATAATTTCAAGTATATTTTACACAATTCAGATTTATATGAAACTTGATTAGTTCATATCTTGATGGCGTTCCATGTAGATGAAAGATTTGTGTACATGATCTTGGGGAATGTTTTTAAGTTTAAATGAACATTACTCCCTCTGGTCTTGCATAAATACTTTCATCTGACAGGAATTTGATTATAGGACTTTGTTGTTGTGAACTCATGGCCATACAGTACAACTGCGTTTGAGCTATAGATTGACTGTTAGCCCTAGTGGGAGACCGGAAGCATAAATAAGGGCTTTACACTCATCCTAGTGGATTACAACTCAAATGCAGAAGTAGAGTCCATTTACAATTCACCTTGTTGCTCATACAGGTGCTGATACAAGAACAAATTTAATGACAGGACCCGTCCCGAATTTCCCGGAACCCGAGACGAACCCTGCGGAGACCCCGGCATCA